AGAGCACGAATTTGCTGACAGGAAGGTACGGGGCTCGAACCCGACCTCTGCCTCTCGACCTCCCCTGAGCAACCTGGCAGTATCGTAGCCCTCGTGCCTCCTTCATGTGGCATTGAAGCTAGGCGCCGAAAGGGTGCTACAGCTGAACGATTATTCATTATTTTATTTCATCCACCAACATCATCATCGACAGCATAACATCAGTGTTCGGCCCTGATTTTTCGCTGCCGTGCAAAGACTAATTTAACAACAATCGCCTATCGGCAGTTCTGAGTAAACACATGCGTTTACCGAATTTCTACGACAATGAAAGGACCTAGGTGACTTGGGAAGCCGAATGTGGGTGAGCACAAGCTTGAATTCGGATCAATAAAACGGCAGTGAAACTTTCGGATACAGTTTTGACGTAGCAAAGTGAAATTACCCTGACAACAGCAGGGACGGAAACACTGAAAACGAAGACATCAACGAATACAGTCTCTTGAAGTTGGGATGTGTCAGTTTACTGGGCGAACGAGCCTGATGGAAGGTGACCATGAGTCATTCGATGCCAACTTTCTTATCATCCTCGCACAGCCGTCAGCATTGAGTTACGGGAGTGCTACAGTTACAAATAGGTACACACTAAGCATCCATTCCCAGGCTTACCTGTTACCTGCAAGTTCGCCAATAGACTTTGTGCAGGGTAGGTAACCCCACATGCAGTTTGTATATGAAACCGTTGACCTCAAGAGTATAAGACCGTGGAATGCCCAGTAGATAACTGAACAGCTGTAACCCATGGTTTACGCAGAGGGTAGGCACCTGCTTCAGATTTATCGGATCTTTTCCAGGTAAGCCCCGCCACTTCTTTCCAGCTCCAATTCAATGTACGCACACAAACTTGACCTATTTTTGATGAAAACAATTCCTTATCTGCATCTAGACTCATTTTGTGCAAAAATTCTCTCCGTTCGGACATAAGACCTTAAATGATCTTTCTGACGCTTTCATCTCTCGTTCATGACAAGGAGACGGCAATACCTTTTTGCAAAACCACAGAGTGATCTATCAGCAACGTTTATACAACAATGGTCACCAAATGACACTTTCAACTGTTTCTGACAGGTGGAGTTGTAATGCTCAACAGTGTCGGCAAGAAATCACTCTTCGAAATGGATCTTGGTTGAAGTGGTCTAGGATATAGTTTAGGATAGTAATTCTATTTATTTATTGCTGGTCCAAAAAGTTAGCAAAAACCAAATTCTGCTCAGAAGAATTATCTATTAGCAACATGACCGCTTTTGACTGGAAGAACTTTCTTCGCCAAGTTTGCGCCTGGCGGCTTTTGGAGACCCCAACGGTTAATTATACCGAAAGCTCTGTGGATCCAACGAGTGGAGCTCACACACAAACCATCGATGCATAATAAACGCCAATGCGACACACACCGATCTTCAGGGGACAGCTATTTGTGTGAGTTTGTTTGGAGGCAAAGGTACTGAAAACGGACCTTTTCACACAAATTATTAATGACCTGTTCCAAATTCACCCTCTTCAATAAGAAACTAAAAGTACAAATCTCACATCCTCTTCTTTCTGGTCTTTTTTTTGGGTGGAGGGGGTTAATTTTTTGGCGGCGCTTATCTGGAAAAGACCCGATTTATCGGACACACATATTACTGCTTGGTGTTGAATAATACTCGGGTAGGTCAAACGGTCCGTTCAATCGTGTACCCAGCAAGCCAATTCCGAAAGTCCAGAGTGGTAATTTGAAAGAGACTTAACAGCCGAATTCAGCCGTGTCTGCTGGGGGAAAGACTAGGGATTCGCCTTAACGATAAACCGACAGCAGATCACGGTATTCTGCACTCGGTCAGCCCACTGATATTCTTGTCTTGAACTACACAGTTATACGATGCAGTTTTTAAAATCCAGTTTTTTCCTGCCCCTTGAGTCCTTTTTATCTCAAACAAGAGCTTGGGATCTCTTAATGAGGATTCCTTGAAAGTTTGGCCTCAAAACCGGCCATCCGTTGAGGCATTTGAAAATAAGATATCGAACTCATTAGGATCCTCACCACTGATATGCCTTAGAGATGTTTCAGGATGCTGTATATCAGTCCTTCAAGGTATTTCTAACGGCCTTTCGCATGTTGGTGTTGAATGACCTGTTTGCACGGATCTGAATTGAACTTGAGATTGTATCAGAAACTATATATACTGCTAGGTGGAGGAATTATAGCGTCAAAAATAACTATTGTAGAAGTACTACTGCCGTAGCCTTCAGGTTCACTGCTTTGGGCCCGTGGTTCAGGATGGCAGTTTGTCTTGCTTTTGCTTTGTTGCATTTAGGACACCATGATTTCTACGATATGGGTGAACGACCTGGTGGAAAGTAAGAGGAACCCTACAAGTTGTGAATTTGGTACAAGGCAGGGACTCCCGAGTCCAGATGGCTACGTCTTCTTCAGACTAAGCACCTGTCTGAGGGAGAGGGTGATTTAAGTACCAGTACGAATACGTTTCTTTGCGGGTAGAAAAGAGCGATCGCGTTCCCGAGGCAAGCGTCAACCATGGGTGCTTAGAACTTTCGAACACTGTTGGACCAAACCCATAACCAGACAGATCGTCGTGCTTTTAGTGGGATTCAAGCGATGGGGAGTCGATGTCTGAACACGGTTGACCTATCAAGGAAGTCTTCAAGATGCCAGTTTCGGACACCTCCTTTGCTGGGTTGACTTTGAGACAGGAAGAGAACAGGATTACATTGTCGTTGTTTCCTTATCCGACTGCAGCAAAAAAAGCCTCGACTCACAATTAATCCACGTCTTACTTCACTGTGGCGGAGACTAACTTGTCCAAACTACGTGACCCTGATCAGCACACGTGCTTCATCACTGTGTTCGGTAGAGTACGACAGAGATAAGTTGCTACTGTCCCCAAAAGCGACATCGAGTTATGTGGCTGTCGCCGTCTTTCTGTTGGGCGCTATGTTATGGACCCCGTACATGCCAAAGGAGACCAAGTTCTCAAACTGTGCGCCTGCTATCGTATTTCGTCTCGAACAGCGACACACCCACGCAGTGACTAATCTTACCCACCCTACTACGTCATTTTCCGATAAGAAATACTTCAACATCCCGAATATCCACCCAACTAATACTCAAACACAAAAGTTGGCCTCTCTGCAACATGTTCGATCGACGTGTACTATGTACGGAAGATAAATTCAACATTCTTACAGTGGCATTGTTGACAGCAGGATGCAGTGACGTATAGAGACAAAAATTCAGGGTGCAAATCGGGATGACCTTACCACATTTGCCCAATATTCCTTAACAGCAAACCAGTAAGCCCAACTCAAGTGATGGATGAAGGTATCACGATTTTTATTTCTACAGGCCCTTTTATCCGGAATCATCATCACCATCATCGACAGCATGACATCAGTGTTCAACACCGATGCTTCACTGCCGTACAACCATGACTTATTTGAAAGCCTTATTGTAAAGAAAAGAGTAAAGGTGGACGGGGAAAGGACTTAGTGGTGGCTTAACACAATCATTCCGAGGTGCCTACCCCTCCAGACATTCCCTCAGGCAATCTGGATAGAAACTAACAACAAGGACGCCACTGACATCGGTTGGCAGCCATTTCCTGTAGTGTCTCCAACCAGGCACAGTGAGGATCACGCGCTCCCCACCCTGAAAGGCGAGTAGCACCGACGGCACCCAAGCGTTTCGTGATCTCCTTCATACTCCTCTGCCAGGTCAAGGGTTGGCCACCTCTCTGTTTACGCGACTCTGAATTGGGCATGGAAAACAGCACTGTCTTCGGCAAACGATGGTTCGGCATACATAACACGTCCCAACCAACGCAGTTTCTGGTGCTGGATACATTCTTCAATCGAAGTACCCGTTACACAACCAAAAACACGCTTTCTAACTGCCTCGTTACGGATTCGCCGACACCAACCCACATGAGCTATGGTTCTGAGACAACGATTGTCGAAC